GAAAAGAAACAGGCTCTGCCAAGTGAGGGTGGGCCAAGGAAAAGTAGGAAAAGAAATACAGCATGAGGGTGGACCACCATGCAAGAAAACATAGTGACCATCTGTCATTTTTAAAGAAGTTCTCAGAGGTGGAATTCTTGGTTAGCATGGCCTTGTTTTGTTTCTCTATTCCTGTTGTATCCTGGTTGCAGTAATTTCTCATGCGAAATTAGGTATTAAAATTTTGTAGGATGGGCTGGGGATTTAGCTCAGTGGTTCTGACACCTGCCTTGTAAGCGCAAGGACCTGAGTTCTATCCCTGGTACCAAAAAAAAAAAAAAGTTTTTTTCTTGCCATTCTGGAGATTAAATGTGGGTCCCTGCACATGCTAAGGCAAGCACTCCACCACAGAGCTACATTCTCAGCCTTTTTTATTCATTTATTTATTTTATTTTGAGACAATGTCTTGCTGAGTGCTTAGACTGGCTCTGAACTTGAGAACTGCTTCAGGCTCCCAAGTAGGTAGAATTATAGATGTAAGCTGCCACAGAGGCAGCAGTGTACATCTTGTACAAGATACATTGTTCTGCTTTTCTTCAGTTCATCATGGATGAATACTGTGGTGTTTTGTTCTTGTTTTGTTTTGAGACAAGGTCTCAATATGTAGTACAGGCTGACTTTGAATTCACTGGAAGCTCAGACTGACCTGGGAACTCTCAGGATGCTACTCAGCCAACAGGGTTTTCTAAGTACTGTTTGTCATGATTTATGTCTGGATGCTTTCCCCAAAGCCTCCTTTACTCATAGCTGTTCTGAAAAGGTAGCTTCTGAAAGTTTTGATAGCTTGATTGTTGCTATATTGGAGAGAGGATCCTAGGAGCTGCTTGCCTGCCATTCTAATAACATTCATCTCTGCTGTTGATCTGTAGGTATACATTTTATATTTGTTTCTTAGTGAGCACTCTAGGGATTGCATTATGCAACTTTAACATCACAGTGTTCTTGGAGTTAGTATTGACTTAATCATGGAATGCATAGCAAATTTTCTATTCTCCCTCTTCATGCTTTTGTCATGTACATTAGGTCTATAGATATTATAAATTAGACTATGGAATGTTGTAATTATTACTTTAAATCTTGTTTTTGTAAGAGACCAAGGTCTCACCAGGTATGGTGGCACATTATCTGTAATCCCTGCTACCTGGGAGGCTGAAGTGGGAAGATCACAGATTAGAGGCTGATTTAGCAAGATCTTATCTCACAAAATAAAAAAAAGGGCCAATGGTATAGCTCAGCAATGGAGAGTTTACCTAGCATATGTGAGTCCCTGCACAATCCCAGCACAGAGTGAAAGAGAGAGAGACAGACAGACTTGCAGTGTTGCCCAGGCTGGCCCCAAAATCCTGGGCTCAAATTATCCTGCTGCCTCAGTTTCCCTAGTAACTGGGACTACAGGCATGACCCAGCTCTCTGTCCTTAAGACAGTTTTTTTTAAAGAACTCAGAAGAAGCCAGGTGTGGTAGTGTGTGATCCCAGAACTCTGAGAGGCTGAGGCAAGAGGACTGCAAGTTCAAGGCTAGTCTGGGCAACTTAATGACTTAGTGAGACCCTGTGTTAAAAAATTTTAAAAAGGCCAGTAATTACCTCAGTGTGAGACTCGGGGTTCTGTCCCCAGTACCACCAAAAGAAACAATGATTAAAAGAAGAAAAGAGAAAACAGGTTTCGTTCAATTTGGTCCTGTCTGAGGCAGGGTCTGACTTTGCAGATGAAGCTGGCCTTGAGCTCAGTGTGTGATCCAGGGTAGCCTTGAATTTGCAGTGTCCTGCCCCAGTCTCCTGAGTCCTAGGATTAACGGGGTGCCCCACTGTGGCTGGTTATACGTGTCTTTTGTGTCACCCACCTCTTTATCATTTCTGAAGTTCTTCTTCCGTACACATTAGGAGGATGAAGGCCCCCACCCAATGCTGACTGCTCTGTAGTTTGGACAAGTGTGCGGCGATGGGGCCCACCCAGGAGAGTCTCACCACCTCGAAAACCCTGCGACCTCACTCGTTCATCCCCTCTACCTACATCTGATGAATTTGTCTTCTCAGTGACTGCATTTTTTGACTCTAGAAGTTCTATTTGATTCCTATTATTTAACTTCCATTTCTTTGTTAATAGTATTTCTTGGATCATTATCATGTTTTCACTTAGTTCTTTGAATACACTTACAGTGTCTGCTTTGTGCTAAACTCAACATCTGGACTTCCTCAGATTCTGTCCACTGGTTTTTTTTCTGCAAATACAGATCACATCTTCCTGTTTTCCTGTGTCAGAATTTTTGTGCTGAAAATCTAAGTAACTTGTCATTAGAATAGTGGAGCACACAAGACAGATGATGTATTGTTTATCTGGGTTCTGAATTGTTTTCGTGAGGTATTTGTTTGGGGATTCTTTCTGGACTTAAACTACAAAAAAAAAAAAAAAATTTTTTTTTTGTGTTTTTGGTACCAGGGATCGAACCCAGGTCCTTGCCCTTGTAAGGCAGGCAGCGGCACCACTGAGCTAAATCCCCATCCCTTAAAGTACAAAATTTGCCTCCCCTTATAGTGTGCAGCCTCTGCTACCTCTGCTTATATTTTTGTTTTGTTTTGTTTTGTTTTTTGGTACCGGGGTTTGAACTTGGGTCCTTGAACTTAGAAGGCAGGCCATGGAACCACTGAGCTAAATCCCCGGCCCTCTGCTCATATTTTAGATTTTGTTTTATATTTTATCCTGCCTTCCTAAAGTTTGCTTCTGGCTTACAGTTTCATAGTCAGGAATTAACTGTCTTGCAGTTTAATGGTCAGTGATTTAGGCAGAAGTTATGCTCAAATACTTCTGGCCCCAAAGCCCCCTGTCCTCAGCCAGCCAGCCTTGTAGGTTAGGGAGCACACTGTTGACACTTCCCCCGGGTGGCATCTCCAGGTTCCCAACTCCAGTGGTTGTTCCCTGGAGACTTAGGATGCTGAGAGCAGAGTCCTGTTGTGGCTCTGGCATTTGGGGATCTCCCTTTTAATAACTGGATCAGTGCCCACCCCAACTGGAATCACAATCCCAGTGATAAGAGCTGTTGGTTTTCCCCAGTAGTTTGTACCAAGTTTGCCACTTTTAGCTACCAGGCTGTGGGTTCAGCCCCCACCCCACCCCATATCTACTTTCTGCTGCTCCAGAATCCAAAAATTTTAAGTGCTGACATGGCACCACATGTGGAAATTGCTGTGCATAACCCTATGTGACAGGGTGCAGTCAAAACACAGCCACACTAAAAACATTGTATAAAATTACTTCCAGACTAGCCTGGGCAACTTAATGAGACCCTATCTCAAAATTTTAAAAAGCTGGGGGGCAAGGCTGTAGCTCAGTGCTCCCTAAGTTTAATCGCTAGCAAGAAAACCTCTGATCAGGTAAGAGAAGTTGCATATAAGGGACATTTGACCTGTGTCAGATGTTAAAACTTCTAATATTGCTACAGGTTTATCCAGAAAGCTTTGATTGATAAGTGTGCGTGTGTGTGTGTGTGTGTGTGTGTGTGTGTGTGTGTGTGTGGTAGGGCAAATTAATCAAATTCAGCACTGCGTTAGGTCTCCTTTTATTTATTCTGCCTGCCTGCCTGTCTATCTACCTAACTTATCTATATTATTTGAGACAAGGTCTCATTGAGTCAGTAAATTGCCCAGGCTGGGTTCATGTTTGCAGTGCTCCTGCCTCAGCCTTACAGAGTTTTTGTTTTTAGGTGTGCACCATCACGCCTGTTTCAGGCCTCTTTTTTTTTTGTTTTTGAGTCAGGGTCTCACTATGTAGTTGAGAGTGATCTGGAACTTACTGTGTAGCCCAGGCTGGTCTCGAACTCATGGCGATCCTCCTGCCTCAGCCTCCTAAGTGCTGGGATTACAGGTGTGTGCCACCATGCCCGGCTTTAGGCCTCCTTTTTGAACACATTCTTTTGGTCCTCATTGTGTGGGACTTTTCAGTCATAGTCTAAAATGAGTTCTTTTGGAGCAGTCTTAAAAATTCTGGTTTCACCTGGTCATTGGCAGTGCCTTGGGTGCCTGAGGACAATCAGTGGTGAGAAAGGAGGTGTCTGAGGTCATCACTGTGATAGGTTACTGAAATTATTTCTCTGCTCCTCCCTCTTTCCACCCACTGATTCCTGCCTAGAAGATATCCCTAGCTCTGTCATGTAGTGAGTGCCACTATATAACCCCTTCTGGGGTTAAAACAGTTTCCTGTCTCAAATGATGGCGTGTAATGTAGTTGGTGGTTAGTTTTTTCATGTCTTTATTTGGCAGAGTTCATGGTTGCAGTTCTGTGTCTGGCCCCACATTTCCTCTTCGTTCTCTCTTAGTTTTGGTTTTAATTTTACTGGTGCACTCATATCTAAAGTGAGGGCGCTGCTGCTGTGTTCTACTGGGTTTGGGGAAGACTCAGTGCACACGCACACATATCCATCCCCTAATACATCTGCCTTAAATAGCTGTTGGTGTCTGAAGCTTCATTTCTGTTGAGGTGATGGGGAGCCAGAATCACAAGGCTTTGCCACATTGTCATCCCCGCCTAGAGAGCCAAGTAGCAACACGAGGAACATCCGGAGAGAATTCGAGTGTGAGAATACATGTATGTGTGTGTACACGTGGGTATGCATGTGTCCATACATCTGTATACCCATGTGTGCATGTGTGTCAGAATATATGCATATATGAATGTGTGTATATATGCAAACGTGTGGATTTATGTGTATTTGCCTTGTGAAAGTGCATATATACACGTACATGAGAGAAATGCATGTGTCTAGGTACTGAGAGAAGGTGGGTACATGTATGTGTGCACATGTGTGTGAAAGGGCACATGTATACATGCGTGAGACAGAAATGCATTTGCACATCTGCCTGCCTGGGCCACTCCCTTTTGGGAAGCAGCCTGGCAGAGGCCCCAGCTCCCAGCTTTGCTCTCGCTTGTGCCTGTGTCTGAGCACTTGCCTCCTGTGGCCCCTCTGCAGATTCTCCCATGGGCAGGTGGTCTCTGTCGATGAGCTGCGCCCTTTCCAGGATCCAGACCTGAGCTTGCTGCAGGCCGGCTCTACATGTCTGGCCAAGCACCACGATGGCCTCTGGCACCCGGCACGAATCACTGGTGAGGCTGGCCACAGGGACTTCCCTGAGGGGACTTTGCTGAAGCACGTCTTTCATGGAAAGCCCCCTCTGCTTTACTTGGCTACTCCCGGCTCCTCTGGGGTGGGCCTTGGGACCCTGTGTGGGCCCAAGAGGAGTGACTCTGACCGCAGCCCAGGCTTCGTCTCCATCCTTACTTCCCACGTGGCTCCTGACTGGCAACCCCACTTGAGGTTGCTAACCTGCAGTCTTTTTCTGTTCTCTGCAGATGTGGAGAATGGCTACTACACAGTCAAGTTTGACTCCCTGCTGTTGAAAGAAGCCGTGGTGGAGGGGGACAGCATCCTGCCCCCACTTCGGACAGAGGCTGAAGAGTCCTCTGACTCAGACAGTGGCGATCTGGGTGACGCCAGCTATGCCAGAGGTACAGCAGCAGCTCAGAAAGATGGGGGAACCAGGGAGTGTGTGACAGGCCAGGGCGAGAGATCTAGCCCTTGCCTTCGAGGACCACCTGCAGCAATCACAAGCTCCCTGGTGTGGGTTAGTTGCCACGTTGGGCATGGGGACTGCTGGTGACAAAGCTGCCAAGGTGCCACAGGAAGTAACCAAACATTTGGGTGTGTGTGGTGTGTAGGTAAGGGTGGCACCTTCAAATGGCTCCCCAGTCTTAGAGCCTTGGTGCCAGGTGAGCGGGGGCAAAAGGGGATCCTAGCAAACTGGAAGTATGTCCAGAATAGATATCAGGAGGGGATCCGGCAGGCAGTGTCCAGCCCTTATGAGGGGTTGGTTGGGATAGACAGGGAGGTGTCCCTAGTGAATTGGTGATTTCTGAACCTTTTGCCTGTGGTGACAGGTGCTAAGCCATAGTGCAGCCAGCTTGCCACCTGGAGCTGCTGGGAGCACCCATAGCTGGCCTGGGAGATCTGGCAAAGGACCAGAGGTGTATGGGATTGGGCCCCTGCTCCAGAGCTAAACTCTTAGACAATGCTGGCCAGAGCCCCGAGAACCATTCAGAGTCCTCTGGCTTGGTAGCGCCACTACCCTTTGTCTTTTGCAGTAGTAGAATCAGGCCCTGCGGACACTGGGACCAGCAGTTCCTCCTTTGCTGGTTGGGAGGTGCACACACGCGGCATTGGCTCTAGACTCCTCGCCAGAATGGGCTATGAGTTTGGCAAAGGTGTGTATATGCTGCTTTGAGGGGGTGGTGCTACAGGGCAGTCAGGGATCCTGCAGCAGCAGCAGCGTCTGCCCTGCATCTTCCCCAGGTCTGGGCCGAAATGCAGAAGGCCGGGTGGAGCCCATCCATGCCGTGGTGTTGCCTCGAGGAAAGTCACTAGACCAATGCGCAGAGATTCTACAGAAGAGGACCAAGGAGGGGCAGGCTAGTGCCAGTAGGCCCCCAAGGTGCAGGAGGAGGAAGGGTAGGCCTGGAGGCCACCTGCCCCCGAAGAATGTATTTGACTTCCTGAATGAAAAGCTACAGAGTCAGGCTCCTGGAGCCTTGGAGGCTGGGGTGGTTACGCCCGGAGGGAGGAAAACCAAGGACATGTACCATGCCAGCAGGAGTGCCAAGCAGGCCCTGAGCCTGCGGCTCTTCCAGACTGAGGAAAAGATTGAGCGGACCCAGCGGGACATCCGGGGCATCCAGGAGGCTCTCACTCGGAATGCTGGCCGGTACGTGTGGGGCCCAAGGCCTAGAGTAGCCATGCCCACAGGATACATGTGGGAGGTTATCTGACCCTGAGTGGCAGCCAAGTTGGAGGAGGTCTGGATGTAGAGGATGGTCAATGGTTGCAGCAGCTGGGGGTCCTGGTGGCAGTGGACCAGGAGCCATGCTGACTGGCAGGCCCTCCCTAGGCACAGTGTGGCAGCAGCCCAACTGGAGGAAAAGCTGGCGGGAGCCCAGCGGCAGCTGGGGCAGCTCCGGGCTCAGGAGGCAGGCTTGCAGCAGGAGCAGCGGAAGGCAGACACCCACAGGAAGATGACGGAATTCTAGAGGACTCGCAGACCCCATGGACAGAGCCCTGGCTGCCTCAGCAGGAAGACCAGCCATCACCCTGACACCCCTGAAGAAGGACCAGCCCACTCTCAGACGGCCCCCATTCAGCCTTGCTTACCTGGAGCATGTGGACACTGATGTGTGGAGATGGGCTGCAGGATCACCTCCAGACACTCACTTGCCCACCAAGCCCACCTGCCAGTGTCTCGGGGCATCTTCCTATCAAGGACATTAAAGTGATTTCATTACAGTGTCACTCAGTGGAGACTTAGCTGGCCGTGGGGTCTCTGGGGAGAGAGGGGTCTACACAGGGTTGTGGCCACAGACAGGGTTGTGAGCTGGAGGGGGTCCCAAGGGAGGCCACTGCTCCTGCCCAGGGCCACAGGGTCCAAGAAAGCAGCATCCACCCTTCCTTCCCTCTCTGATCCAGGCAGGGAAGAGCTCAGAGTGCCCCATGGTGCCCAGCACTCAGGTGGGGCTGGAGGAATGGAGATGGGCCCTTGGACAGCAGAGTTGATGAGGCAGGCTTGGGGGTTCAGTGCCAGTGCTTGGTGGCTGCTGACCATCCAGTTGACCTACTGTCTACCTCATCAGCCCTGTCCCCCATCTAGTCTGGAGAGAATGCAAGTTAGGCTTTTAGAACAGTGGCTTGTGGCACACAGTGAGTCACAACTAGATCTTGGGTGGGGCTGCAGCAAGTGAATGAGGCTGAGTGGTGGCTTCACCAGGAGCAGCTGCAGCTGAGGGTTGAGTGGCTGCTGGGAGGTACTGAGACAGGCAGGAAGTGAGGTGAGGAGCTCACTGAGGACCTACAAAGACCTTCCTGGCTGCCCCAGATAGAGCCAACGAGGAGCTCTGCCGTGGCCTTGGTAAGTTCCTGCTCCATCCTCCAGCACAGGCAGATACCCAAGCCTCTTGGCCCTCCTGGGGTCTGGGAGGGCACTAGGACCTGGCTGTGTCCAGGTGAGTTGTCTTCCCCCCACCCTCATACAAGAAACCTACTACTGCAGTCTGGATAGACTCACTCTGACCTCCAAAGACCACCCCCTCACTTTCCAACTTCTGCAGATTTTAGGTGGGCCCCCAGCCTTGCTAAGACTGATCCTAGGAAGGGTGTAGGCCTTTGGTGGTGGTGTGGAATGGGGCACTCACTTCCTGAAAGTAGCCGTGTCCTGCTTGCTGATCCCTACACTGTTCCAGCTTCTCGGGGAACCAGGCTCCATAGTGAGTGGCTTAGGGGCATCACCTTGGACAAGGAGGCCACGCCTGGGTAGAAGGTGGCTATAAATGAGGTCTGTGGGCTGTGGCTCAGTCCTGGGGGTGTGACTTCGGGGGCTTCCCCAGATCTTGGGTTTAGGCTACAATGACCACAGCCTTGGTCAGGTCACAGCTGCCTTGGCCATACGCCCCCATCACCATAGCTGCTGCTCTCACAAAAAGGCATGCAGAGCTTCTCCAGGTGCTCACAACCAGAGGAAGGAAGGTAGGCGCCCCACAGCAAGGGCAGAGCTGCAAGGCCTGGGGCTTTCTGATGTGCTGAGTCAGAGCCAAGGAGAGAAGCCCACCAGGGGGGTGAGTTGCACAAGTGGAGCAGCGAGGGGTGTGCCAGACCTTCAACCATCCCCCAGTGCTCCTCTCTTCCGCCCCCAGGGCCCTGCTTCACAGAATGGGGCCACCAGTGCCCATGGCCCTGCCAGCCCTCTGGGTCCTAGGGTGTTTCTCCCTGCTCCTCTGGCTGTGGGCGTTGTGCACAGCCTGCCACAGGTACGTCCATCTTGCCTATATTCTCTCTGGGCCCTCACCCTCTGGCCAAGCTGGAAGTCAAGAGGCAGGTCCACTTCAGAATCACCTCCACATGCACCTTCATGCTGGGCTTGGACTAGCAACTGGCTGCCCTACCTCTACCTCTTCCCACCTGGCCTGATGATGCTCTTGTCCCTAGGAAGCAGGTGCAGAGCCAGCAGGCAAGACTACAGGACACTGTGATGCTGGCAGAAACGGTGAGTGCCAGGTTGTCCCTGGGGTGAAGGTGGGGCCAACGGGACCAACCAGCCTTCCTTGTCCCTAGTCCCTGCTGAGACAGACTCACCTCTGCTCCCTCAGCAAGTCTGACACCAGGCTGCATGAGCTGCACCACAGTACCCATGGTAGCAAAGGTGAGGTGACTACCAGAAGGACACACAGGGAGGGGCTGGCTGCAGTTCGGGGCCACACCTGCTGTCCACCCCTAGTGACTTCTGGCCTGAACTTACCCATAGCCCTGAGGCCTGCCAGCATGGATCTCCTGTACCCACACTGGCTAGAAGTTTCCAGGGGTAGCACCACGCCACAGGCAACCCCCTCTGCCTTCCCACCTCAGCAGCTGCCGGGGGCTCCATCTGCCACTGCCTTCACACTGTCCATCAGTCCTGAGGCCACCTATTCTAATGTGGGGCTGGCTGCCATCCCCAGAGCTAGCCTGGCTGCCAGCCCTGTGGTATGGGCAGGGACACGGCTGACTACTGGCTGTGACAAGCCAGGGCCTTGGGCCAGACCTGTACTGGCTGAGTATGCCTCCATCCAGAAGCTCAAAGGGACAGATCCAGGCTCCCAAGAACTGCAGCAAGGGAACACTGAGGTGACCCCAGCTGCTCAGGTAAAAGTGGGCCTGGGTGGGGTGTCAGGTGGGGCTGGGCAGGTCCTGGGCAAAGGTGATGTTAAGGAGCCCACCCTGGGTCTGCTCCCTCTCTCCAGGTGGACATCCTGTACTCCAGGGTCTGCAAGCCTAAAAACAGGGCCACAGGACCCACTTCAGACCCACCGGACCATGAGGGTACAGGAGCAGTTCTGGCCCTGGAGAGTGGCTTAGCCTATGAGCCCCTCCCTCCTAGGGGCCTGGACATGGACAGCAGTCCCCTGGAAAACGTGTATGAGAGCATCCAGGATGTGGGGACCCCTTAAAGTCCAGAGCCCTCCATTCTGCCTTCTAGCATAAGTGGACCTTTGTAGAGCACAAGACCCCTGCTTCTACCTTCCTGTGCCTAGGGAAGGTTTGGAGACCCCTCTGTGTCCTGAGCACTCAGTACCAGTATTCCTCCAGCTTGAGCCTCCAGGTGACTGAGGCCTCATTACTTTGACTGTATTGCTGTGTCCACGTGGCCTCTCCTCTTCCAACCTGTATCCTAATAAATCCCAGTCACTGGAGGACGGACATGCATGCCTTACCTCAAAGCCTGCCTTTTGAAAACTGGGAGGGCTGGGTAGGGAGTTTCTGGATGATTAGAGATACCCCCTTCTGGCCTTTGGAGGGTAGGCAGGCTTTCCCTCTCGTACCCGCCTGACACCTGAGGCCATTGCGCTGTCCGTACAGAAGTCAGTGGTGGGGAGGAGAGAAGACCGGCCCTTTGCGGTGGTGGTTTCCAGGCCTGGGGGGTCCTCGGGACAGTGCAGTGGGCCGACAGGAGGGCTTCCTGGAGTAGGACTTGGACCCTGAGCTCCATGGCGCGGCTCTGCCACCAGCCCCTAAGGTTACGTAAGTGGAAAGAGGTGGGTAGTCCTGCGTTAAAGAATAACCTGTTCCTGGGGGGCCCGCCAAGCAGCCTCGGCCGCTTCCTGGCTCTGGCAGCTCCTAGAGCACGGCCGTCGGGAAGCCGGCCCTCAGGAGGGCTTCCTGGAGTAGGACTTGGACCCTGAGCTCCATGGCGCGGCTCTGCCACCAGCCCCTAAGGTTACGTAAGTGGAAAGAGGTGGGTAGTCCTGCGTTAAAGAATAACCTGTTCCTGGGGGGCCCGCCAAGCAGCCTCGGCCGCTTCCTGGCTCTGGCAGCTCCTAGAGCACGGCCGTCGGGAAGCCGGCCCTCTCCGGCGGC